GGAATTCCTTTGTCCAGGGGCGAGGCCGCTGAAATCAGTGGCTTTGGCAAATCAAGGGATGGTCGTATGCATCTATCACAGGAAGGGAGTTAACTGGTGCCCGCAGCTCTCATGGCACCCCCTGCTTCTCACCTGTAATTTAAATGAGCTGCAAACAAGCTGAATATATCCTTGCTATGTGGATTTGTGAAAGCCAAGGTGGTATTGACCACTGGACAGAGTGGAGGAGCTAGTTGTTTGGGCACAAAACAGCAGTTTTGGAGCCCAGTACTACTGGGCTAGTTCTAGTGGAACTATGTCGCAAAAAGTGTTTATGCTGGATGCAAACGCTTTAAACGCACCTCTGCTTCCAGTGCTGCAACGTAGGATGCCATGCCACAGCATTTTGCATTTTGTCTTTCTCCTTAACCCTACCGTAAAACTCCCTGTAAGGAATTTTACTTCTGGTGCTGATAAATGGCTTCCGATTTCATTCTTTTGCTATCCTTCCTTCTGTTTTATTTTAGAGTCCCAACCCGTTGCTCACTTTCAGTGTTAAGACGCATGACCGGATATATTATATGGTTGCTCCTTCACCAGAAGCCATGAGGATATGGATGGATGTTATCGTTACAGGCGCAGAAGGCTACACCCACTTCATGTTATAATAAAAGGGGGAAATAGGGCATACTGCAATAACGTAACATATGAAAGTCAGCCATATGTAGTGAAACCTGAAAAGCCAGTGAATACTCTGAAATGTCCTCCTTATGATGTGCACCCAAAACCTGGGAAAGAGACACGGTTTTACAAATGCATTGAAAAGGGGGGGCTTGTTACTTGTTTTAGTTGATCTTCATAGGAATGAAAGAGATAAAGCTGTTGAGAGAATCGTAGTGCTCCAAAATGGATAATCGGGCAATTTTAAATTACAGCATCTTGATTCAACGATAATTTTCTACAAATTCTCTTATAAGGAGAATGTCTTCATAAACTCGTACTAAACAGTTTACAGATGTGTGTTTTCTCATCAGTATGCAAAAATTCTAGTAATGGAACAAAAAGGTGTAATAAGCATATATTTTAATATGCAGCATTTGACGTTTATAGATGATTAGGTGACTTTTTAAAACTTTTAGTCAAGTATTTTATAAAAATATAAACAAAAAAGCAACCCTAAGGTAACACAGTTCTTGCCTTAGTAGTTAAGTATTACAACAGAGCCAAAGAGTTGTACGATTCCCTTACCATAAAGTTTTCAAATTGTTAGTTGTACCTAACTTTCTGTAAGGGGACAGTGCCAAAACTCTTCATGACTTCTAAACAAATTAAATTGTTACGATATTCTCTGTGTTCAAACACCCAGTGATGTACGTTTAAACTTCGCATCTGTGGAGCTGAACAAAAAAAAGAGAAGGATAGCTTTATAAAGATGCGTTTTTCCACAAGGACATGAAATGGAAACACATGTATTAACTTCCTCATAAGAAGGGGTTTTTTTTAGATCTTCCCTGTTGAATAGAACGGAGCTGATTCTAGACCCTACGCAATTTTATTTTACAGAGTAAAGTCACAGCATTGTTCTAACCTTACTCTGTGCCAAGTGAACACTCTGTGGAAACCTCTCAAACGTTGGTCCCCTTGAAGCCAGCATCAAAATCTCTACCTATCTAAATTCTTTGGAGCCAGGTTTTTGGCCCCAGATATATATATATTTTTTTTAAACTCATATCTGCACACAGTAATGCTGTCAAATAGAATAAAAAGAGAGAGGCAAGTTCTAAGAGTTTATGCTAAGCAGCGTAAAAAAGCCCTGACAATTTTAAGTAGCAGACATTGAGATTCCTAAAGCAGGAAAAATACCGAGGGTGCAGTGGTCTCCCATTTTAAAACAATTTCCAAGTGGCAAAAACATAACTTATTTAATTGAACTGAACTTCACGAAAGTCTCTTATAATATGACTTTAAAGAGGTTCTATTTCAGTAATCAAACTTGCGTGCTATGTGGTTTGTGTAATAGAAGAAAGCACATTAGCCCTTTTTTTCTTGATGAAAACTTAATGGCTTTTGATGGAACAAATAAAAAACTGAAAGCAGAATAGAAGTATGCTGGCAGAATATTTTTGTTTATGCTTTTTAAACCCTGTATCTGTAATGAACAGGTTGGATGTTTTTGTGGTATACACAGGTGATATGGTTGCTCTAGCATGAAGAACATCAGTTTTGACTTGAATCATGAAAGAAGGGACTGTAACCACAAGATAATTGTTATCATCTGTGCAGATCACAGCTTGTAATCTAATGATTTAAAACACTATCAGAAATAAATTGCTTTGGTTTATATAATTATTATTTTTCCCTGATGTATCTTGATTTTACTCCTAAGTATGGTTATAAAGGTTTTCTAATAATGATTTTTGTATCCTGCATGATGCAATGAAGGCATTTCAATAAACATTTTTAAAAATACACTTGTTTTAAATATTCACTTGCTGCTTCATGTTGAGACATTTCTAGTTGTCTTTTAAATAGTCATATACAGTTGTGCAAGAAATTTTATATTTTTTTAGTAATGTTTAATCTAACCATTCCAAATTATGGAAAATAATCTTTCAGATGCCAGTGAAGTCAGGAGCTTAGTCTGTTTGCTGTGTGTACATAGATTATTACCTTTCTCATTTTTTATTACTCTGTTCTGAATTTATCCCCAGCCCTGGATATAGACAATTTTTTTTGTTTAACTGCAAAACAGAAATTGCTGAAGTTTAAGGGTTTCCCAGTTTTCCCAATGGAAGACTTAGATATGACTCAAATTGCATGAAGCATTCGCTAACTGTAGAAGCCCATGCAGTTTTATGACTTTTTCACTACGTTTGCTAGCATCGTCACGAAGCGTGGTGGGTTTTGTAGTAGGGGACACCGAGATAATGTAAGCAAAGCACAGCACCATCTTTTCGGGTCAGTCTGCAAGCCCTCTAACCTTACCCCCATGGGAGTCAAGGACCCCACTTACCCTAAAGGATCTTGGGCAATTGCAGACCACATAGGCTGCGTCTCAACCGTTGCTGCTGCACCCCTCAACTTGCAGCTGCTGAGGGGCTGGGCTGGCGCGTGCCCCGAACAGTACCTTTGCAGGCATTGACCTCTCTCAGTTTCGTTTTCTTCCTTTCTCCACATCCTGTACCATAAAAGGTTCCCAGAAGGAAAGCCGGGTTTTGGCTGCCGTGTCTGAGCCAGTAAGGCCAAGCATAGAATCATAGAATCACTTTGGTTGGAAAAGACCTTTGAGATCATCGAGTCCAACCTTTCACCTAACCCTGCCATCCCACCACTCATCCATGTCCCTAAGCACCTCATCTATCCTTCTTTTAAATACCTCCAGGGATGAGGACTCTACCACCTCCCTGGGCAGCCCATTCCAGAGCCTGACAACCCTTTCGGTGAAGAAGTTTTTCCTAATATCTAACCTAAACCTGCCCTGGCGCAGCTTCAAACCATTCCCCCTCGTCCTATCATCTACCAGGGAGAAGAGGCCGACCCCCACCTCCCTACAGCCTCCTTTCAGGCAGTTGTAGAGGGTGATCAGGTCTCCCCTCAGCCTCCTCTTCTCCAGACTAAACAACCCCAGTTCCCTCAGCCGCTCCTCACATGACTTGTGCTCCAGACCCCTCACCAGCTTGGTTGCTCTCCTCTGGACAGAGGTGGGTGAGGCTGCCCCTAGGCTGAGCAACATGCGAGCCCTCAGGCAGCTGCAGGGGCGGCCGAGGGAAGGACGATGGGTTTGGTCATGCCCTTTTTGGCCGTCTCTAAGGGCTAAGTTAATTATGTGCGTCACATTATAGACGTATTACAAAACGTGTACTTTTTATAACAGTTTATACCCATAC